CGGAATTGAAGCAAGTGAACAAACCATTCTGTTCATTTCAATACATCCCTTTTTCACTTTAAATGTAACTATGTCACGAAACATCACATCATTCAGTGTCATTTCTCTCTATTCTAAATCTCTAGTAAATACTAAAGCAAAATAATTATTAAAATTTCTGCCATCTTTCTGTTGAGTTATCCTATCTGTCCTTTAATGGTTCCATTTCCATCCCAGCTTTCTACTTTCCCTAACAATAATTGCAACATGTTTTACTGGTCTATTTTACGTTCCTTGACAGTTTGATTTCATATTTCTTTCTTGCCTCCCAAATTGTTATCTTTCACTTCTCTTAATTGTTCAGGCCTTCAATAAGAACCTATAATCTCATGGCATGGCACATGTCAGTATCTCCCATAACCATCAACCCAGGGGATTAACCCCAGGCTCAATGGAGAGTTCAAGAGGGCATGCCAGGAGCAGTACCAGGCAGACCTGAAGACGAGGTGTCAAATGAAGCTACCAAACAGGACTACTTGCTAAACAGAAGAAACAGCAGGTGATAGACAGAGCTAAGTGATCCCACAACCAGTGAATCAGATCTAAGCTCTGCAGTCCTGCCATATTCAGTCGGGAATGGTGGTGGACAATTAAACAGCTCACTGGAGGAGGCAGCTCCACAAATATCCCCATCCTCAATGAAGAGGGAGATCAGCATATCAGTAAAAAATCCCATGGTTGAACCCTTTCACAGCAATCTTCAACCATGTGCCAAGTGGATAATCCATCTTGGCCTCTTCCAAAGGTCCCCAACATTGCAGATACCAGTCTTAAGCCAATTCAATTCACTCCATGTGATATCAAGAAACAGCTGGAAGCACTGGATACTTCAAAAGCCAAGGGCCCTGGCAACATTTTGGCAATAGTACTGAAGACTTGTGCTCCAGAACTTGCTGCTCCCCGAGGCAAGCTGTTCCAGCACAGTTACAGCACTGGTGTCTACCAGACAATGTAGAAAATTGCCCAGGTATGTCCTGTACTCAAAATCTAATTCAGTGAATTACCAGGCCATCAGTTTACTCTCGATCATCATTAAACTAATGGAAGGGGTCACTGACAGTGCTAACAAGTGGCACTTACTCAGTAATAGCCTGCTCATTGATGCTCAGTTCACCAGGGCCATTGGGCTCCTGACCTCTTTACAGCCTCAGTTCAAACATGAACAAAGGAGCTGAATTCCAGCAGGAAAGTAAGAGTCATTGTCCTTGACATCAAGGCAAGATTTGACTGAGTGTGGCATCAAGGAGCCCTAGCAAAACAGGAGGGTGGAGGGCAAGACACCTCTGCAGGAATCCCTCAGGGTAGTGTCCAGTAACTTTCAGCTGCTTCATTAATGACCTTCCCTCCATCATAAGGTCAGAAGCAGGAATGTTCGCCGATGATTACACAATGTTCATTCAAACATCAGCCTTCCTGCTCCTATGATGCTGCTTGGCCTGCTGTGTTCATCCAGCTCTACACCTTGTTATCTCTTCTGTTTTTGTTCCTGCTTTACAGCATCCGCAGTTCTTCAGGTTTTTATTTAGTACTTAACTCACTGCCACATCTCTTGTAGGCATCCCCACTTTAAAGATGTTCTGTTCCTCTCTCCGACAGGATTTCTGTTCCAATCTTTCTTCTTGTCCACCGACAAAAAGGGTCACCGGACTAGAAGGATTAACTCTGATTTTTTTCTTCACAGATGCTGCCAGACCTGCTGAGCATTTCCAGCAACTTCTGTTATTGTTCCTGTGTTTGAGACCAGAATTGAAAGCCGTACACCAAACGTGGCCTAACCAATGTGCTGTGCAGCCACAACATGACATCCAAACTCCTGTACTCAATGCACAGACCAATGAAGGCAAGCATACCAAATGCCTTCTTCACTATCCTATCTACCTGGGATTCCACTTTCAAGGAACTATGAACCTGCACCCCTCGGTCTCTTAGTTCAGCAACATTCCCCAGGGCCCTAATATTTATTGTGTAAGTCTTGCCCTGGTTTGCCTTACCAAAACGCAACACCTCACATTTATCTAAGTTAATTTCCATCTGCCACTCCTCAGCCCATTGGCCCATCTGATCAAGATCCCATTGTACTTTGAGATAACCTTCTTCACTGCACCACATATTTTGATGTCATCATCAAACTTACTAACTATACCTCATATATTCATATCTAAATCATCCAAAACATCCATTAGTGAGGGTTACCATTGACCGGAAACTCAACAAGACTAACCATATAAACATAGTGGTTACAACAAGCTGGGAATCCTGCAGCAAGTAACTCAACTCCCGACTCCCAAAGACTGTCCATCATCCATACGGCACAATTCAGGAGTGTGATGGAATACTCCCCATTTGCTTGGATGGGTGCAACTCCAACAACACTCAAGAAGCTTGGCACCATCCAGGACAAAAACAGCTGCTTGACTGGCACCACACCCACAACCTTCAACATTCACTCCCTCCACCAGCGATGCACAGTAACAGCAGTGTGTATGATCTACAAGGTCACAGACTGATTTGTGTATATAAGGGCAGCCATCAGGCCCGTGCCAGCCCCCCAGAGTGAGCATCCCACCTTGTGCCGTTTTCCAGCCTTCTTCCCATAACCCTTCACACTGTTACTTTTTATACAACCATCTCATTCCTTTTTGAATGTCCCACCATGCTCTCAGGCTGTGCATTCCAAACACTATTGACTTGCTGCATGAAAAACATTTTCCTCAGATCATTTTTGCATCTTTTACGAATTACTTTAAATCTGTGCCTTCTCATTTTCAAATTTTTCACAAGTGGGAACTTTTTCTTCCAGGTTACTCTGTCCACACCACATGATAATGAATCCGATCTTCTCTCAGGCTCCTCCAAATAAAACAGTCCCAACTTCTCCAGTCTATCTTGATGACTGAAGTTCCTCATTCCTGGAACCATTCTCATAAATCCCTTGTGCACTCTCTACAATGCCCATATACCCCTCCAATAGTATCGTGCCCAGAAAGGGTCATAAGGCTCCACCTGAACCCAAACTGGTGATTTATACGAGTTCAACATAACCTTCCTACTCTCTGAGCCCCTGTTAATAAAGCCCAGTGTACCACATGCTATATTAACTACTCGGCTAACCTCACCGTGCTACCTTTGATTATATACACCCCTGCTCCTGCACCTTGTCAGATTTCTTTGTATTGAGCTTCACCTGCCACCGGTCCATCCATTCCAAAAACTTAGCCATGTCCTTTTGAAAGATCTATATTGTCTTCCTTACAATTTACAATGCTTCCAAGTTCCTTATCACCCATCAATTTTGAATTTCTGCCCGATACAATTAATAATGTATCGCCGACAAAGCAAAGCTCCAAACACTGAGCTCTGGGGGCCTTCAACACACACCTTCCTCAAGCCTGAAAAGTATCCATTTTGTCGCTCCACTAATTCTGTGTCAATATTGCTGCTGAGCCTTCTATTCCATGAGCTATCATTTTCCTCACCTGTCTTTTGTGTAGCACAATCTCAAACGTCTTTTGGAAGTTCATGTAGACCACATTAACAGCAATCCGTGACTAACTATCTCTGCAGCTTATCACTGAAATGCACAACACTAACTCACCAAGGCACCTCTGAACAAACCTTCCAAACCCAGAACCTCTATCAACCTGTAGCACAAGGACAGTAGGGAGAACTATCATCTCCAAGTCACTCACTATCCTGACTTGGAAATATATCACCATTCCTTCAGTGTTTCTAGGTCAAAATGGTAAAATTCTCTTCCTAAGGGCATTGTGGATCAACCCACAGCACATGGACTGCAGCGGTTCAGGGCAGCAGCTCACTACCACCTTCTCAAGCGCAATTGGAGATGGGTAATAAATGCTGGTCTTGTCAGTGATATAAAACCCAATCATATACACAACTCTGGCTATATCTTAAACACAAACTCCGCAGTTAACATCATGATGAATAACTTTAGAAATAAAATATAGATGCCCTTTCAAGTCCCTGAGTCTCCCCCTTGCCAAATCTCTCAACCAACTCAACTAAGCGAGAGTGAGAGGAAGAATGAGTGTAGCCTGGCTGCTGGTTAATCATTAGCCTCCGTGCTTTGGTCAGAGTGTACCAGCTAAGATCTGAGTGCCAGTCTGTGACACAGCCTTGGCCTCTTGCCTGGTTCACAGCTCTGCCTCGAACTCGGAGGACAGGCTGATGCTGGAATCGGCGTTTGCAGAAATCCCTGGCTCCAATTTATTTGAACACTGAAGGAAATTCAAAGCTCCACTCTGAGCAAGGCCCAGTGCTTTGAGCAGCATAAACTGGCAATGTGACAGAATCTCCCTCCTCCAGAATGAGAGGACATTCTCCAAGGATAAAGGGTTGTCTATTTAAGGCAAAGATGAGGAAAATGTTTTTCTCACAAATGGTGGGGAGTCTATGGAACTCTTTTCTTGATAAGATGATGGAAGCAGAGTCCTTGGATATTTTTAAGGCAGGGGTGGGCAGATTCTTGATAATCAAAAGTGTGAGGGTCAGCAGTTGCAGGTGGAAATGTGGAGGAATCAGATTAGCCATGACCTTATTGCCCGGTGTAACGTACCTCAAGGGCTGAGGGGCTCACTCCTTGTTGGAACCATGTACGTCTATAGCCCCGGTCCTGTCCACATCACTCGGTCATGGTGTCGGCTGATGGGAAGCTCCCAGCATCAATGTGACCAATCCTCATCACCAGGACATGGGGCTGGATCCTGAAGTCTGCATTCCCTCACCCACTCATACTCCCACAGTCCAAAACCATCCATTCCAAACAACAACACTTACAGTTTGTAACAAACACTTTCTGGTTCCTTGCCTCCTTTCAGCAAACGATTGCATGCCACCTCTGTGTAGATATTACACTGGCATTCCCCTCATTCCCAAGCCTGGATTGTCCGTACCCTCTCTCCCTGCTCCTGATATGAACAGTAAATGTTCCTGATACTTACAGCACCGATCCGTTACTCTGTTTCCTGCCCAGCTTGGGGACTCGCCTTTTCGGGGAGCTGATGAGTAAGCCCGCAGGGAAGTGGAGGCTTTGCCGGGAGAGGTTGCTAGCCCCCTCCCCGGACAGCATGCTCCGGCCCGGCCCGGCCGCTCACTGCAGCCGCTGCCCGTCCGCTCTCATCCCGGGACCTGCAGCAAGACAGAGCACACCGTGAGCTAGGGCCGCCTCTCCCTCTCTGTCCCCCAGCTCCTGCACAGACACTCACTGCAGCTCTCGGTCCAGCCTGGGACACACCTTCAGCCTGTTCAACAGCCTCCGCCACTCTCAGTGGCCCCACTTCACTCAAACTCCAACTTTCCCGTTAGATTGAGGAAAGAGTAGGACGGGGAACAGAGACACCATGTGGTGGCTATCCCGGAACACTCTGGGAAAAGTGTGTTCAACCACAGAGACAGATTTAACCCGGGACAGAGATTACACCCGGGACAGAATCACAGATTACACCCGGGACAGAAACACAGATCACACCCGGGACAGAATCACAGATCACACTCGGGACAGAATCACAGATCACACCCGGGACAGAATCACAGATTACACTCGGGACAGAA